GGGGTCGGGGAGGGTCGGGACCGCCCGTGCGGCCTGCGGGGGGGCAGGACCAGGCAGCCCCGCCTTCTCTCCACCCTCCACCCCGCCCAGGTGCCAACTGTCTTCGGTCCCCCCAATCGGAAGGACCCCCAGGCTGGAGTTCCCACCCCCACGCTGCGATCTGCTGGGGCAGGAGCGTCGCAGGTGGCAGGTGGCAGGTGGCAGGTGGCCTGTTCCCGAAAACCCCACGGGCGGCCGGGGGCGGCCTGGGCTTCCTGTCCCATCACACACGCAGGACGCAGAAGCCGACCAGGGGAAGACGTGCTGGCGTGACGGTCCCCGCAGGGCCACCAGGTCCCTGCCACCCTCCCACCTGTATGTGCGCAGCCTGCTCTCAGGCGATGGCTTCAGCTCAGCCCAGGAGCTCTGGACGGTTTTCTCTTTGTAACTTTTACTTTATTGGCGTGGAACACACACACACACAAACACGCCTGAGCACCGGGACAGCTAAGGGAACAAGTTCACGTGGACGTCCGCGGAGCCTCGGCAGGAGGGCGGACACAGAAGGGGAGGTGGACGCCGAGGCCTCAGCGCAGGGAGGGAGGGGACAGGCAGGCCACGTGCCAGAGGGGACAGCAGAGGGCGGCGGCGCCCTCACAGTCGCTGCTGGCGGTTGTCGGGGCTGAAGGTACACAGGTATATCACCCAGAGGATGAAGGCCGCCATGCACACCCAGATCCAGACCTCTTCGTAGGGGTCGAAGTACGGCCCCCAGCAGGAGCCCGGCTCCCTGTGGCGCCTGTGGTGCCTGTGCCTCCTGCTCCTGCAGCAGCCGCTGCCGTGCAGGCCCCCGCGCTTTATGACGCTGAGCACCGACAGGGGGATGGTCAGGGAGCCCTTGCTCGCGGAGCTGGGGCCGGGCTCTGGACCCACGCGGACGAGGCCGCTGCCGCCCTGTCCCCAGGACCCGTTGGTGAAGACGAAGGGGAAGGTGAGGGAGCCGCTGACGTCAGGGGGGTAGCCCGGGCCTGGGATGACGTGGGCCAAGGACGAGGGGAAGGTGAGGGAGCCGTCGCCATCCTCTGTGAGGCCGATAATATAGGACACCGGCAGGACGTCCTCTCCAGCTGGCCGGCCGCTGCTGCTGGGGACAGCGCCCAGACCCTTCCTGTGCTTGCCGGGAGGGCAGGACACAGAGCCGCGGCCCTTGTAGATGAAGCCTGTGACCTGGAAGGGCTTGATACTGCTGAGCAGGCGGCCTTTGCCATGGAGGATGGGGGCCTTGATGTTCACCAGGACGCCCCTGCCCACGGACATAGCTGTGACGCTGGGGGGCAGGTAGATGGAGCCCCTGTCAATGATAAGCGGCCCCCGGGGACCCTGTCCAGGGCACACACGGCCCCTGTCCCTGCGCGTGCGCACGAGGGAGAAGGGGACGGTGACAATGTCGATGTCCTCACTGAAGAACTGGTTGCTCTCAGAGAGGGGGCTTCTGATGACATCAGGCATGACAGAGGGCATGGCGCTGCAGCTGGGGGTGCGGCCCCGGGCGCGGTGGACCACAGGGCCACTGCCGCACAGAGCGTCCTGGCTAGGGCTGCAGCTCCTGACTTCCGGCCCCCAGGCAGGGTCTGGGGGCTTCTGGAAGAAGCAGACCCCCAGCTCGCAGGCCTCGCACTGGTCCCCAAAGCAGATCTCTGGGCACTGGTCAGAGCTGAGACCCTCACGGTAGCAGTTATGCAAGACGAACAGGACTAGTTTGTGCAGGAAGAGCCGCACGTTCAGGAGGCTCACCTGGCAGTCTCCCTGGGCGTCCCGCGGACACGCCTGGCAGCCCTGGCCCCACACGCGCATCTTCACCAGCCCCAAGTGGCTGTCCTCGTCCCACCACATGTGGAAGAGGACGTGCACGTGTGCTGAGGACCAGCCCCACTGGCAGCGGCCGCACTGGAGCCTGGGGAGGACAGAGGTAGCAGTGAGAGGAGGGGACGGGGCGGCCGTGCTCCACGGTGCCCCACGCCCCTCGGGTCAGAGTGGGGCCTTTGCCTGCACCCCATAACCTGAGAAGCAAATGCCTGTGATTGGTGGCCAAGCCTGGCTTGACACACGTGAGGCACTTGAGGCTGCAAGCTACTGCATTTCTGTCATATTGTGACTCGGGGCTTCAGCATCTTGAGACAATGCATGGGAGGGCTCCGAGTGTTCCCGGGAAGACTTTCGGGTCTGTCCTTGGAACTTTCCGTGACAGCGGCATGGCTCTGCTCCTGCGCCAGGCTACGCCTTGCAGCCACAGTGGCCAGGGAGAGTGCCTTCACATGGACAATGCCCTGAGGACCTGAACACCCCACCATGTTGAGATTTCACTAATGAGCACTTCACAGGCTGCACATGGCCAGTGGCTGCTGAGTTGGAGTGTATAGGTCTGTGTGTGTGTGACCGTACCCCCAGTTGATGTTTCCATTGAAAACTGAAAACCAGCTTGGCGGTGCTCCCTGTCTTCACCTGCCGTTGAGACCTGCTCTTCACTTTGGCTGTGGGAGCAGCCACGTGTTTAAACTGCTTCTCAGACCTGAGAAAGCCAGCATTCCACGGCAACCAGGCCCGCTCCCCCACTGCGCCGCCTCCCAGCTCTCCTCGAGGACTGAGGTGCCTGGCTAGGGGGGGGGCCCTGCAGGTCTGGGTCATCCCACTGTACCGACAGCTGTTGTCATGATGATGACAATGATGAAGACGATGAAGATGGAGGCTCACATAGTGGCTCAAGACCACCAGGGCTCCCAACTGGCTCCCCACTCTGCGCATGGCCCAGGCGCTGCACAGCTCCCCCTTTTCTAGGGCTGTGCCCCTCAGTGCGCCTCTTAGTTTCTGGTCCCTCAGGTCCCTCAGGCCCAGCTGCAGTGTAGGGATGGGCGGTGGCCACAGCCGCTGCCCATTCCCTGCTTGCGTCAGTGCTACCATGGAGACCAGGAGGTGCGCAGTACACTGACAGAGCCCTCCCGAGTGGGTGGCTGCATCACCCCACCAGCCCCCAACTGGCAAGGCCCTGCCCGGGCTCTAGGGATCCAGCATCGCCAGGCAGGGTCTCTGCGTGCCACTGAAAGGCTGAACAGGTGGAAGGGACCACGAGCACCCGGCCACGCACCTGTTGGGGGGCAAGACCAGGCCAGACACATGTCCCTCCCCATACCCCCAAGGACCAGGACACTCCCAGCCTGGCCTTGGAACTCAGGGCCAGCCTAGGCCCAGTGGTCAAGCAGCCTTCAGCCCCTCCCCCCAAGACCCAGCCAGAGGCCCCATCCTCCACCGCACCTCGAAAGCCCCCTCAGCCGGTACTGGAAACCGCCGCCGTCCACATGCCCAAAGGCCAGGTTCTCGTCGGGGACCAGCTCCCAGGTGTCCTGCGGTTTACTCTTGGCCATCAGCTGGGCCAAGGTGCGGGCCCACACGTGCACCCCATCCATGCTGGCGCTGGGCCGCAGTGCGGACTGAGGCTCGCCAGCTCTGGCTGGAGGCAGCCTCCGCAGCCCCACCCGCCCATCGCTGCCTTGACAACCGGCCAGTCTCCATGGCAACTGGTTTGTCTCCGAGATGGGAGAAACAGGCCTTTTTTTCCTCATCTTTTTGAATATTTTTCATTACGCAAGCAATCCATTTTCTTTAGGAAAAATTAGAAACCAACAGATAAATGAAAATGAAAAACAATCCAACGTGATGACATTGCCGGTCATCCTACCCGCCAGAGACCGTCGTGGTGCTGACACCCTGCATGTACCTCACATATGCACATGCAAATATTTAACAAATAGGAAACAATTATGAATGTGTCGCCCTGAAACCTGGTGTTTCCCTCCACACCGTGCCACGGACAACGCCCCACCCTCTCCCCTTCAACATTTGGTGCTTTCCAGCCTGCGGCTCTGCCCTTTCTGTCCTGCCTGTCCCCGAGCTGCTCGGTGCTGGTTCTCGGTCGTCACAAACAAGGCTGTGAAGAACTTTATCAAACTTTGTGTGTCATTGCAAATTTTCCCATGTTTTTTTTTCAAACTTTTTATTGGCTAGAAATGTACACCATTTATATAAAAATGCCTAAAACATAAACATGCAGCTTCACGAACTTCTATAAAGTCTGAGGTCAACACCTGACAGAAGCCAGCCTCCCAAAGCTCTGTGTGTGTTCCCCACCAAGACACCGCCAGCCGGCTGGGCCGGCGCCACCGCCACCGCCACCCACCCAGTATGCAGCCCTGAGCGGCGGCAGGGTAGTCACAGACCATGCTTTCTGTGCACGAGTGTCTGGCTTCTCCCGTCTTTTTGGGGTTTTGTGTGTGAGCTTCAAGAGCATGCAGAGCAGCGGCTTGTCAGGTGCAACGTGAAAAACTGAATTGAGGAAAGCATGGCCGAAGTTCAAGCAGAGTGGGGAGGAGCCTGAACCCTGGACCCCAGGGGCAGGAGGATGCTAGTGCAGAGCAAAGGAAGGCCACCTTTGGGTGACCATGGCTGAGGAAGTATCCTCAGGGCAAAGGCCACATAGAGGCATGGCTGTCACACTTACTCAAGCTTCCATGCTGAGGAGGCAGTTTTTGCCAAGTGATTGTTGACAGGCAGTCAAATAGGACCAAAGCCATAAAACCACAGCTCAGTGTTGGTGTTATAAAAGGGTCTGACCAAATGAGGCTGAGAACTGGCTTCAGTTCCCAACACTCAGCAAGGCCTCGTCCCCCAGCACTCATCCATGATGGCCCCGAGGTAGGAGGGAGGACACGCTCCCTAGGTGATTCGCAGACTCTGTCCCGGGAGACACCCCTCCCCTGATAGGGGCCCCTGCCACATCTGTGTGTCTGGGGCCTCCACTATCCCCATGGGCAGATGGAAGTGCTCACTGCAACCAGCCACCCTTCTCGTCCACATGGACAGAGTGTGTGCTGTGGCCCCAACTGAGGGTCATGGCGCCTGCTGGACAACCGTTTCCAGGTTCTAGAACCACAGCCTCCACCCCCTCTGACAGGTGACAGACTGAGAACCGGACCCCTCTGTGCCTTGTCTACAACCTGCATGGTCCCGAGTTAGTCACTCTTCATTCAGCTCTTCAGTTCACCAGTCCGAGCCAACCACCTGCTCTGGCTAACATCCCAGGGGCTCTCCCTCTCTCGTGCCACCTTGTTGTGGATTGATGATTTCATCGCTCCATTCTCATCCTCCCACAAGTTTGGGCGCCACACTCTCTGCTTCTATTATTTTGTTGGTGGCCCTAGAAATTTCAGCACACAAACTTAGCATAACCATCACCTGAAGTAAGTCATGACCTTCAGAAGGAGCGAAGCAGCACTCTGCCCTCGCCTGTGCTCACCTCCGCGTGGAATCCAGATGAGCACGCACTGGACCCTCCCAACACACCGTCCACATTGCCGTGACTCTGTCTCTCTAACCTGCATACCGAACAATTTTGTCTCATTTTTCTAGCAGTTCACCAATTCTCTCCTCACCTTTGTCTAGTCTGCAACTAATTCTGCCAAGTGGGCTGATGTGTTTACCACATGTCTCATTTTTGACACTTCTTTTTGGCTCTTTCAACCATGTGAAATCTTTGCCTTGCAGCTAGGTGTGACGGTAAGTTACAAGTGATGTGCTTCCAAGAAGGTTCCATGATGAGACCAGCTAGCCGGGCATCGTCCTACGCTTTCCACTCTACTTTCACCTTCTGGTCAGCAGTGCACAGATGATGGCCAGCCCTCCAGCAGCCATCTCAGACCACGAGGTTGATTTGCTGAGGAACCAGAAAGGTAAGACTCTGAATTCTTTTTGAACAGCGCTGGGGAATTGTGGGAAGGGGAACAGACAAGTTGCTGTCCTTTTGTTCTTCAGTCTAGTTGTGGAGGACGTTGCTTCACTGGCCCATGTTGGTATTATCATCAGGCTCTTCCCGCTGAGGCAGTCGCTCGCCGCCCATTGGACAGCCGCTCACGGTGGCTCACGGCAGCTCTCTCCAGCTGCCGGCCACTCACGCTGGCTGCTGGCCACTCACAGTAGCTCATGGCAGTCCACTGCAGCTTCACTGCAGCCTACGTTGTTGCCGGTGACTCACAGCATCCCAGCTCCAGGTCGAACTGTTGTTCACCATCTTAGCTATAGAGGGCACAGTGTCACTGGCCCTCATGTGGGATCTGAACCGGCAGCCCTGCTGCTCAGAGCTGGCGTCCCAAGTCAACTCTTAACCAACTGTGCCACTCAGCTGGCCACAAGACCCTGGATTCTTGAGGACAATTAGCATCACCGTACTTCTTTTTTTTTTTTTTCTTTAAAGATTTTTATTCAGGAATTAGGGCATGGGAACAGTGCTGGGGAATTGGGGAAAGGGGAACAGACAAGTTGCTGTCCTTTTGTTCTTCAGTCTAGTTGCGGACGACGTTGCTTCACTGGCCCAAGTTGGCACCATCATTGCGCTCTTCCCGGGTGAGGCAGATCAGTTGCCGGCTTCTGGACGGCCGCTCACTGAAGCTGCTGGCTGCTCACGGTGGCTGCTGGTCGCTCAGGCTGGCTGCTGGCCACACACGGTAGCCCATGGCTGCAGCCCACGCCGTCGCCGGTGACTCACGGCAGCCCAGCTCCAAGTTGAGCTGTTGTTCAGCATCTCAGCTGTGGAGGGCAGTGTCACTGGCCCTCATGTGGGATCTGAACCGGGGCCCTCTGGTGTCCCAAGCCAGCTCCTAACCATCACGCCACTTGGCTGGCCCTCGCCGTACTTCTGCCAGATTGCCTACTTCTGGGTTTCTTATTCAAGAGAGAAATAAACTTCTAGCTGCCACTGTTTCTTTCTAAGACACTGTTTTCTAGGGGTTGGGGGTGTCACCCAACCAATCATAGCAATGCTAACTGATACCCTGGGGCGATGCCTACAGTCCTGGGTTTTGGTACACCCATATAATTGCTTGCACATGAATACACATATATGCACATACATGACTACACAATTATGCACATGCAACACACACAAACACATATACACATAAACACACACGTTTGGAAATTTAAACTATAAATTCACATTTAAACCACTAACAGCATTCTAGACAGTTTGGAAAAGAAAAGGGTAAGAGTTTCCCGTGACCCCCCTGCCGCCCCCGCCTCAGCAAACAAACAACCCAGCTAACTTTATTCTTGTGTGTAGTAAATGGTGAAAACACTCTGTTCAGTTTATTTAATTTGACTCTTGAATTGGGCAGATAAATTAGGCACCCTTTTTCAACTTCTGGGAAATGCTTCAAAAACAAGATAGAACAGAAAGTTTTTATTTGCAAACACTATTAACCATTTCCTGTTCCAACCTCAGAAGTAGCTGTGCCCCACGGCGTTGGGTCACTGACATCACCACCGACCTCCTCAGAGCAGTTTCGGGATGATCCCGCTGCTTCCTGGGTTTCTCCCCACTGGTGGAAACTGCCTCAGGAGCATGCGGGGGATCCCCTCTCCCCCACTTTCCATCCGTGCTGGCGCATGTTCCACCGCCCGCTGGGTGCGCGTCACCTAGGCGGACACCTTGGAAACTCTAGAGCTCTTCACCCCGACCAGATGGGCCCTGTGTAGGGAGCTTTTCCAGCCTCCAGGAGCAGCCGGGCCTCAGGAAGTGGGGTGCAAACAGCCCCGGTGCCCCCTTTGTTCCTTTCACTTCCTCCTTAGTCCGGCAGGAAGCAGGTGCACAGCCAAGCTCCCCAGAGAGCAGTAGAGGACACACTCCAGCACCCCAGGCCATGGTTGCCACGTGCTCCCAGGACCCCAGCTGACTTCGTACAGAACCCGCACACCCCTGTTCCTTGAAATACAGCCTGCAAAGCTCAACAGAGAGGGGCCAGGCAAGCCGCCCGAGCTGCCCGGAGCTCTGCTTGGGGGTCAGGGTGCCCAAGGAGACACACGTGCTCATGTGCCAAGTCCACGGGTGGGTCACGCTGTGCGAAAGCCCCGCCCAGCAGGCCACACGCAGTTCATCTGTGTGTGTGGGTTATGCAAACACAAAGACACAGGGATGGAGGGCAGCCGGTGGCCGCAGGGACAGCAGGCAGGAGGGGGGAGGGTGACAGCGGGCACACGGCCTCACACGGCCAACGCTGTGCAGCAAACACGCACACAACCAGAGTGTGGGGTGGGGACAGTGTGTGTCTGGGGACACAATGTGCTGATAAAGAGTGGGGGCTCACCTTGGGCTTGCTGCACTCCAAGGGACCAGAGAGCCATAACCCTTCCCACGTGTCTCAGCCCCCCCCCAGGCCCCACCCAGTTATCCAGCGGTCGGCTCACCCAGGTGGGCGGGAGGCTCTTCAAGAAGCCATGTCCCTCCGTCCTCCACAGCCTTCGTGCCTCCCATCTGCACCCACATGCCCCTGCCAACCCTGACCTCCCAAGGCCCAAGTGCCCCTGTCAGCCTCCTGAGTCTGGCCCCCACCCAGCCCACTGCCCCAAGGGACACCAGTGGGAAGGCAGGGGGACAGGGAAGGAAGGAGAGAAGGAAGACGGGTGAACAGAGAGAACATAGTAAAAGGAAAGGGGACAAGAAAGAGGGGGAGGGGAAGGACAGAGTGGGGACACCAGGCGGCACAATCCACCCCGACTTTTGGTCCCCTCTGTGGAACGTGGCCAACCTCCTACAGATAGTGCCGTGGGGTGGAGGGTGCTGCAGTAGTGAGGAGACCCCCCAGGGGTCTGACTGCCTGTCCCACCCAGAGCACACGACCCACCCTTCCCCACAGGCCCTTAGCTCAGATCCCACAGGAAGGAACTGCCATGCCCAGGACAGACAGATGATGGGCACCGAGCTGAAGTGCCAGGCTCTGTGCTGACCCTGACCTCACCCTTCCCCCAGCCCCAGGCTAAGCCCCCAATCATCTCCAGCATGCCTGCCCTCTGAGGGGAAGCCCCAAGGTTCTGTGTACCACAGACGCCTGTCCACTCCCAGACCAGCCACCAACCTGGCGGCCAGCTCCCTGCACCCACAGGGCCCACCTGGCCTGCAGCACCCCCCCCCATGCCACCCACCCACCCACATGCCTCGGCTCGGGGAGTGGCCCTTTGTTCACAAACTAAAGCTCTACGCTCGCTCGCTTCGCCTGCAGACATCATCTTTGATGCTCTTTTTCCACTGGTTCAGGTTTCTTTAGTGTTTTCCCTTCATAACCAAACCCCGAGTGTCTCGCGGAGCTGGGCTGCAGCGCCAGCTGTCAGGTGGTTTCTATCTCGGTTATTTTAAACTGATGAGACCTACGCAACATCACTAATATCAGCAGTTTCATTTCTGTTTTCCATTCAGTATAATAAAATGCTTAGAGCAGAATGCAACAAAATAACCAAAGTATCTCACAAACTTCTAGGCTATACAGCCAGGCCAGAGCCCTCTGGAGGCCCCAGGATCACCCCCACCCCAACATGAGCAGAGCTGGGGGCCCTGGGTAAGGGGTTGTGAACAGGTCAGACCTGGAAGGTGAGGTCTGCACACCCGGCCCTGCAGGCTGCTAGGAGGCTGCTGACGGTGGAAAGATGTGGAAACAGGGCACCCAGACCTGGCATGGGCTTCCTGAAAGCTTGAAGCTGGGAGGGGGCACTAAGCACACAAAGCCCTTCAGTGGGGGGCCATCAGGCAGGGCGCCCTGCAGATGGGGAGGGGCCCAGTCCCCTGGGCAGGAGAGGAGCAGGGTCTCAGGTGGCAGACGGTCAGCAGCCCACTTGCAGCCCGGGGGAGGGGCTGAGTCTCTCCTGGAGCAGGAGGGCAGGAGAGCCCTTGGCAGGATGAGTCCATGCTGCCCGCTGCCCAGAGGGGTGGCTGGCAGGGGGCAGCAGAGGACTGGCCAGGCGCTTGCCTGCCCTCCCTTCCAGCAGTGGCAGAATGGTGGGCTGGAGCCCTGTGGCCACCAGGGCACAAGAGATGAGGCAGAGCCCACTCCTCACTGCTATCCCGGGGACCTGAGCCCAGAGAGGGCGACCCACCTCCCACGGACAGGAAGATGGCTGGGGAGGCGAGGAGCGAGGCCCCACTTCCCATCCTGTGAAAAGAGAAAGAGACAACAACAAATAAAGAGACCGCAATTTTCCTAAGATGGAGAGAGCTTCCCGGCGGGGCAGGGGCTCCGGACCCTCCCCTCCATCTGCCTGTCCCTCTTGGTTTCTTCCCCCCCTTCTCTCTCTCTGTCCCTCTGTGTGTCTCCATCTCCACCGCCCTCCCCTGCCCCTGCTCTGTCACTCTCCCCACCTCTCTTTCTCGCTTCCCTCTCGCTCTGCCCACCCCCACTCCCCTCCTATGTGGAGGAGGAGGAAGAGGGGGCGGGGGCTCGGGGCGTGTCCCTTACACCTGACGGGGACAGTTTCCTTTCTGCGAACAGCTCTACTGGAGCAGAGGAAGAGAGGAGGCTGACAGACTACGCGCTCGGGGCATGGGGACCCCATGGGCGCCTTGGCCACTCGTCTGGGTTGTGCTGCAGCTGGGCTGTAGGCCAGGGTGGCTCCTAGGTACGTGGCTCAAGGTTGGGTGGCACCGGGAGTCGGGGCTGGGAGCCAGCCGTGGTCCCTGGGGTGTGGAGGAGGCTGTGTGTGTGTGTGTGTGGGGGGGGGGGTTAGGCCCCTCAGGCCCCTCCCGCAGGCAGCGTGCTGTGTGGCTTTGGGCTAGAGAAGTTTCTTTTCTGGGTTCACCTGGTGGTGAGTCTTGTGAGCAGGCGGGAGCGTCCCAGCTCGCCCTCTGTGCCCAGTAGGACGGGCAGGCCTGTGCTCCCCATCTATAGGATGACAGAGATGGACTGGCCAGAGCCCCAAACCTGGGCCCAGCTGCCCCCACTTGTGTTTTCCTGGGATAGGACAAGCCTCTCAGAGGCTGACTGGTTCTTGAGGTGACAGGCTAGATGGCCTGAAAACTTACTTCAATTATACCAAAGTGTAACCTTGTGAGTAAAGACTATTCACCCCCACTCCCTCAGGGGCCTGTGGCGCACCCCTGGGGTCTCTGGACGAGACTCCGGTGTGCAGTGTTAGGCACAGCTCACAGCGTCCACAGCCAGCGCTGGAAAGGGGCCTGGCCCCAAGCCTCCCATTCGGGCTGTCCACTGGACAGACCCTGCAGGCCTGTGGTCAAAGCCTGACGGTCAGGGAGAGGGCGCCTCCTGGCTGCCCCCATCCCTAGTCAGTGCTGCACAGGTGGGAACCGGGAAGGTGGGTCCCCAAGCCTAGCCCAGGGCCTTTCCACTAGACCTCACTGAGATGGGGGATGATGGTCTCTGGAAGGACCAAGATGAGATAGGGTGCCCTGACACCCCACCAGGGCCACACATCCGGTGTCCCAGTGCCCAAAGGCCCTTGGTCACCTCTGCCCTCTGGGGTCCGCCCTGTGATGAAGGGGACACCAGGCAGCTCAGCTGTTCCTCCTCAGCAGGGCCTCGCCCTCCAGACCTCATGGTTGGCAGAGGAAGCAAAGCTGGGGTCGGTGGTCCAAGGGCCTGTGAGCGAAAGGTGCTCAGTGGTGGACCTTACAGGGAGCCCAGTGATGGAAGGAGCGGGGGCGCGCATCGTCCTGGGAGGGGACCGGAGGAATAAAGGGGACTGTGATGTCCCCTGTGACCTGCTCCCCACCAGGACCCCTTCCCAAAGCTGGGAAAGATGAGAAAGAGATTCTGCAGGCAGACTCTGCAGTGTCAGATGCACTAGCTTGTGTCTCAGACAAGGTTTCCAAACTCAGCGTGCCTCAGTTTCCCCATCTGTGACCCAGGCGCCAGCCACTCTCAGCACAGATACCCCAGAGCTGCCCATGTCGCACGCGGGGCGGTCCTCCTGCTCGTCCCCCAGACTCAGGCACTCTGGGCTGCAGGCCACTTTTCATCCCATGACACATCTCTTTTTCTTCCTTATTTGCTATTTTAGTCATTTCCATGGAAAGCCCCGTCTTCATGCGCATGTTTTTCTTGCATTTTATGAAATATCCAGCGGCTGGCCGCCCCCTGTCCCACGGGGGAGGGTCAACGGCAGCACAGATTAAGGCCCTCATTGCTGAGCTTTGTGACCTCTGGCGAGACGCTAACCTCCCCGAGCAGCAGGTCAGGGACAGTAATGCCCTCCCGACAGGGTTGTGAGCACTGAATCAGTCAATTTATAGAAAGTGTCTGGCACAGTCCATGGCACATGGTTTTGAAGTCAGATTGTTTTGTTTCTTTTTTTCAAGTTACAATCTTGAAAATATTGGAATCCTACAGAAAAGTTACAAAAATACAGCAGTGAATACCCTTTACCCAGCGTTGCCAGCTGACAATATTGGCACACTCGCTGGCTGTGTCGTGGCTGTGACAAACACCACAGACCAGCAGCCTGCACAACAGTTCATTGTCTCACAGTCTGGAGGCTGGGGGTCTGAGATCACGGTGTTGGCCAGGGTGGCTCATCCAGAGGCCTGGAGGGAGCGAGTGGTCTAGGCTTCTCCAGGCTCTCCAGCTTCCGGTGGTGGCCGTCAGCTTTTGGCACCCCTTGGCTTGTAGACACGTCATCCCATCTCTGCCTTTGTCTTCACATGGCCCTCTCCTGTGTGTGTCTGTCCAAATGTTCGTCTTCCTATAAGGACACAGCCGTGTTGAATTAGGGCTGCCCTCCAACCTCATCTGCAACAATTGTATATGCACCTTCCCTGTTTCACGTAAGGCCACACCCTGAGGTGCGTCCGGGTGGGGCACAACACAGTCCATCTGTGCACTGTCCCAGCTTTGGGCCGAGCCTTGGGGGCCACTGCAGACGTGCCCCTCCTCCTGGGACGGTAGCTGCCACGCAGCCCCAAGTCCAGATGCCCGTGTGTCCCACCCCAGGCCTCGGGCGGGTTTATCTTTCCCTGATGGAGCCAAGTCAAGGACTGCCTGCTTGTCTGCACATCACTGTCCTCAGCAGGCCCCGCCCCTCTCTGTCTCTGCCGGCCCTGGAGTTCCTCCTTTCTTTCTTTCTTTTTCTTCAGTCAAATCTCAATTGCATTTTAGACATGGAAAGACTTGAGATGAGGAATGTTTTATTGAGGTATAATTGACATAAGGTTCTATCAGTTTCAGGTGTAGGATGCAATGATTCGGTGTTGTCTATATTGTGAAATGACTGCCATGATTTGTCTAGTTAATAGCCATCACCTCGCATAGTTACTGCATTTTGTTTTTTGTGATGCAAACTTTCAAGGTGCATTCTCCTAACTACTTTCAAGTGTGCAGCATAGCCATGCCTCGGTGTCTCTGGGTAGGCTGCAGGACCCCCGCGGTCTGTGGTCAAGTCTCTCAGAGAAAATGGCATCGTGTTTGCACAGAGACCACAGCACGTGGCTAACTCAACTGTATGTGACTCCATTTATGTGCCGTTCGCCAAATGGCCAAGTAGACCCAGGAAGTAGGTGGCGGTGGACAGGGGTGGGGTGGGAAGGCTGTGCACAGGGGCAGTGGGAAGGGCCTTGGGGGACACAGGACAGCTCTGTACCCTGACTGTGCTGGTGCAACACAGACCAAGCACTTGTCGAAACTCAGACAGTCCTACTCCAAGACGAATGACTCTTACTCCATGTAAAGAAGACAAAAACATACCCTAAAATGGAAGACGCTCGCAAATATTACCACCGAACCTGCTAGCAGCCCCAACCCCTGACATGGGCGGGGAAGAGAGAGCTGGCCTGGGGGACGGCAGAAAGCAGTATTTTGATCAACTACTATTAAGCGAAAGACAAATGTTACTGTACAGATGTGCCATCTTCCAGTTTGTAAATGTGTTCTCACAGACAAATGAGCCAGCCATTCTGAGCCTTCTTGTGTGGAGTGTGATGGAATAACAGAGGAACATATTGTGAACTCTGAGAGCCAGGGGTCCAGCTGTCAGGGAGGGAAGACAGCCTGTGGGACTGGGTTGGAGCTGTGAACCCACAGTCTTCCACATGCATGCACAATATAGGCGGGTTTTCGTGTGTGTGTATGTACACACATATATACCGATGAAGATGTAGAAATAAATAGGCATGTGTGATGCCTGGGGGTTAATACTATATATTATACAAACACACATATGTGTATAAACATATTACCTGGTTTTTGTTGATTCGAGTTCATGCACCTCCTTTGAGAGCAGTTGATGCCACCTCCTCCATGAAGCTCTCCCGCTTTCTCTTTGCAGAGTCCCAGCCACTTTAGCATCTTCTTGTAACACATGCCAGCGGTCTTGTGCTTCTGTGTGTATCTTAGATGTCCTTCCAGATGGCAAACTTAGAGGTCCTATGTGGCTCCCGTCTTTGGCAGCACCCTCTGTAAGCTCTCAAGCAGCACAGATGCTCAGTGAGCCTGCAGACAGTTCGCGTCAGAGACGTCGAGACACAACCTGAGTGTCCAGGATCAGCACGCCGGGAGGCGCGCAGCTCTCTTCCCGGCTCGCGGGACCCCAGACGTGCCCCGTGGGGTTCAGGCCTTTCCATTCTCTTCAGACCAGTAGATTCTGAGGCCGAGGAAGCCAAGCTCTGGTGATGCCTGGACATGGGTCCAGCCCCAGCTCCTCCTCTGACACACGGGCACCTTCCAGGCCCTCCCCCCATCGCCTCCAGCTCTTCAGGGTCATGCGCCGGCTCCTCTAGCTCCATCCCAGGGACCACTCTCCTTCCCGTCACAGCCACGCCTGGGTCATCGTCGCCTCCCGGAAACTTCTGGGAGCTTCCTAGGGGATGGGCCTGTCTCACATGCTCTGTTTCATTTCAGCTTGTTCTTTACAAGGCAGTTAGAATGATTTTTTAAAATCTAAATGACATCATGTGTCTGTTTAAAACTTTGTAAATTCTGTAGCAGATTCCCATTGTGCTCAAGTCAAAGCCAGGCCTTTACTTTTCTTCCTCAAAGTTCTCACACAGCCACCCTCCTGGCCACGAGTCAGTCAGTTCCTCCTCCTTTAGAGCTTTTCCTGGCAGCACAGCGGCTCTAGCTGTCTGTGGCAAAAGGTCACATCTTCCCTTTTCTTCAGTCTGTCATGGGACTATCTAAAATGGAGTAAAATTCAACTACTGAGAAAAGCTGTAAAAAAATATATTTTACTTTTAGAGTTAACAGACATAAAAGTAGTTGGTCAAATTACTGTAAATGTTTCAAATGCTTATTCTTGATCTCTGTGCAGACGTCATTGGGGCTCAAAAACAGCTTCTGATGGGGACGACCTGGGGGATCGAGTGGCCCTGTTACCCTGAGTGTGACTGATTCCACCTGCCCTTTAAGGTCTCTGCTTAAATGTCACTTCCTCAGAGACTGTGCCCCTGGCCATGCTACCAAACTAGATCCATCCTCTTGATCATATTTCTTATCACTGCATCTTATTGGCTTCATTTACAATACCTATAAAACTCCCACACACAGACACACACACACTCATAGGCACACAGAGACACACACACACACATTTGTAGACACACTCATACTGAGACACACACAGACATACACTCATAGATACACACAGAAACACATTCACACACAGTTACCACA